ATAGTATTTGATAATGGTAATCAAATCCACAACCTTATGTTTGCCAACCAGGTGCTGTGTGCTGAGCTGTATCCCTAGTCCTGTATAATGTTTTAATGGCCTAATAAATACAATATTTCATAATTAACTTTTAAAACTCATTTTATTTTTTATTTTGAGATTCAGTGGATATTTCTGATATTTTAATCTTAGAAATAATGTACACAATGCATAGCCTCATGGCCGTACTTGTATGTAGCTTCCTTCTTTTCCCCAATTAGGATGAATCCTATACTGAATTACATAAAAGGACATAAAACATTTTAAGGAATTAGATTTTTTTACAGTTTTATTGGATGTAATTATTGTGTAACAAACTGTTCATATTTATGGTGTACGGTTTGATAAATTTTCACCTAAGCTTACACTGGAACTGTCACCACAATTTAAGATAACATCCTTTTGTAATTTTTCCCTTCTATGTCATCCTTCCTTAGGCAACCCACTTAGCTTTTATTTCATAGTAGAATTATTTGCATTTTCTAGATTTTTAGGTAAGATAGAATAATAAAACATTTCTTTTTTATTTTCTTGTATAGTCAGGATAATTTTGAGCTTCATACATGTTTTATTATAGCAATATTTTATTGTTACAGAGTACTAAAATTATATCGTATGGATATATCATAATGAATTTGCATGTTGATAGATATTTGAGTTGTTTCCAGTTGTTGACTATTAAAATAAATTTGGTTGGGACTCATTGTCCATATCTTTGTGTGGATATGAGGCATTCTAAGGAAATTGGTATTTATTACCTTTTTCTTTTTTTGGAAAGGCTTTATGTTGGTGTTTTCAAACTGAAAGTGCTTAACATGACGGTAACCTTATTTGTTTTTTTTTCATTTCTTTTTTGGTTTTTTTTTCCTGTTTTGAAAATATATTTTTAGGAGGGTGTAGATTTTTTGAATGTAATGTAATTGAATTAATTTGACAAAATGCTCGAATTTGAAAGGACAAAGGCTAGTAAATTCATCTGAGTAACTATAACATTTTCAGCTTATTTTGTTGAAGCACCTGCTTTTGTCAATAAGTTTATAGAAAGCAAGGATTTTTTTCTTAGACTTTCTGGGAGTGTGAAGGGCTACGGAGATGGTGTGGTGCCGAGGGGCAGGCAGAAAAGGGAAGGAGAAATAAAAATGGTTAAGATGTGATATATGATATATGTATGTGCATATGTATCAGTCGCCCAAGATGAATATAATTATGTATTGCAAACATACTAATATATATACATATATGTATGAAAATCAAGAATCATTTGCTTTATTTAATGTACTATTAGTAATAAGCAATTTATACTTCCCTTTGGAATGACTCCTGCAATGATCAAGAAATGGTCCTGGGACGAGTGTGCTTGATACTGCAGAGGATACCCCCCAGGCTGATTTGGGATCCTAACTGAGGTCTTCTTTTCCTCTTCTTAAAGGTGCTGCTCAGCTGACTGAAGAAATCCAGATGACATCAGCGCTGCTTGACAGTACCCTTCTCAACTTCCTTTCTCGGAGAGCAGAGAGGGATTCAAACATTGGAGACAGATGGTAAGAATATGTTTCCTGAGTTCTTTGACCTTAATCATTGTCATTTTAATAAATTTCAGACAAGTTTTTCATCAGTGGTAAATTAGCTTACCCTTAACAAATGTGTGTTGTGTTTGTTATATGTGTGAATTATTATGCAGTGTGATTTTAAAAATGAATGAGATTGGGCCAGGAAGATAGCTCAGTGGACTACGTGTTTGCCTGACAAGCACAAGGTCCTGAGTTCGATCCCTGGTACCACAAAAAAAAAAAAAAAAAAAAAAAAAAAAAAAAATGAATGAGATAAAGTCTTGCCTTTGAAGAACTTAAGAGGAAACAAATGCAAATAAATAGATGTAATCAAACAGTAAAATAGTTAAGTGCTACAGAATCACGAAAGTATTCTTGAGAATGCAGTGGGTAGAATATTTCTGGAGAGGGATTGTGAGGCTCGAATGAAGAAATAGTATTTGTGTTCATGATACAAAATTTGTTTTTACCAAAACCTATAGAAAATAAATAGTTAATATAAAAGCTGAAATAGCTACCTGAATTCAAGTAAAAGGTTAGTTATTTTTTTTGAGAAGAAATATATACAAGTTTTATTATTGTGGGCTTAATAGATATAGTTTAACTGAATGATTACTTTTCAACTTAGGTAAGATTGTTACCTCTTAAAAGACATTTTTAAGAAATGATAAAATAGTTGATTTAAATTAGCTAGTAGCTGAACAATGGACAATAGAGTTGAGGGAATGGTAAATTCTACCTGAGTTAACGCTCATGTTTGCTAGTAGCTACAACTATAATGAATGTGTCATCCATTAAGCTCTTGGACTTGATATTTTTTTCTGGGTAGAAGTAATGCATGTAAAGTGGATAAAGCTGACTGAAATAGAGCTACTGTGAATAGATCAATACAGCATTCCAAAATTTGTTTATTTTTAAAGAGGTGAAAACAACAATAAAAATGATACAGAATTTCAAAACAAAATGATAGGAAATTAACAATATTATTATATTGAATGCTGCTATCTTCAGAGTAGTTGCTCAGATTACAGGGTACAGGCTTGCAAAACCGATTAAACAATATAAGCACTAACTGTTCCTTTCAGTTAACTGATGGAAATTAATAGTGCAGTTATCTTAGCTGTGTATATATATATATATATATATATATATATATACACACGTATTTTTTTTTCCCTTCTTTTTTTCTTTTCTCCCCACTCCCAGTTGTTATTTCCTTCTGAGCAATTTCTTTCCCTTTCACTCTATCTAGTGTACCTTTTGGCTTGTATTTACTCTTTCAGTTTCTTACACATGCGATTCTGATTTATTTCACTTTAAGAGTATGGTCTCTAGTTGCATCTATCTACCTATGAAAGCTTCAAGTGTATCTTTATGGCTGAATATTTTTTTATATGTGTTTTTTTAATAATTTCATTGAGAAACAAATAGCAATAAGACAGTTTCAAAACTGATTAGTAGGACAGACTTAATAATTAATACATTGCATATTGTTGTCTTCTTAGTGGTTATTCATAGTGCAAGATGCAGACATGGTATCCTGTCCACAAACACTATTAGTACAAATCTTTTTTTTTTTTTTTTTTGCCATAATTTTACTGATAAATAACAGTGAGACAGTTTCAAATCAAATCGGTAGGACAGTTTCAGTAATTAACACATTGCATACATTCTTCTTAGTGGTTAATTGCTGTACAAGATGTGGACTTGATATCCTATTTACAAACACCATAGGTGTTTGATGGTGTTTATTGCTGAATATTACTCCACTGTATAAAATAAAACTACCTCATCTATTTTAACCCATTCCTCTGTTGATGGACATTTGGGTTGTGTCCAGGATTTAGCTATGACACATTTAGCTATGCTGCTATACACATGGGTGCACATACATTGCTGTGGAATGATATTCTCATTTCTTCTGGGAAAATACCCAGAAGCAAAGAGCTGAGTGGAATGGGACCTCCAATCCTAGTTTTTCAAGGAAACTCCACCCTGATTTCCACAGTAGTCCTACCAGTCTTTAGTTCTATCAGCAGTGGAGAAGAGTTCCTTTTTCTCTAGAGCCCCACCCCTCCAGCATTTGTTATTGTTAATTTCTTGATAATTGACCAAGTTGTTTTTTGTTTTTTGCTTTTTTTTAAAAAGGAGATGGTAACTTTGAACAAAATGTTTCTTTACCTGTAGGCATGATGTGGTTGTGTAGGGATATTATTGACCCCTTTTTTTCCCACTGTGCTGGTGATACTCAGAAGACTTAGTGATAAAATTATTATAATCACTCTCCTTAATGCTAATGTTCTCTTTCATCAAGAAAATTTTTAAAATACTTTAAAAGACTGCATAAACTTACTTGTTTCCTAGTCATTTTTACACATTTTCATATACTTTTTCACTCTAAATTGGAATTTAAATGAACTAGGCATATATATATAT